ATGTCGCCCGCTCTGGCCCCAGGGATACATTTAACTATGGCCGCTGGCTTCACTAACTTCACGTTTCTGACTATGGAGCTGCCAATAACCAGAGTTGGTTCCTCAGCGGGTGTGTCGCTGAGTGGGGAAAATGTATTGGAAACGTGAATGGGTTGGTGGTGAACTGTGGGTTTCGGCGTTTTAGTCTTCCTTCGCTCAGTCACCCAGCCTCCCTGTCTTCCCGGCTGCTCGGGAACTCCTGGAGGAACTACCGGGGGAACTACCGGAGGACGGCTAACAGAAGCTACCTTCGGTCGGACCGCACCGGCTACTGGGGGCTGGCTAACTATAGCGGCTAAAGATATCTCCGTGGTGCAGTGCCGTTCCTCTAACTCACTAAGCCTCGCCTCCAGCGCAGTAAATAAACTACACTTAATACAGGTACCATTATCATTAAAGGAGGCAGAGGAATAACTGAACATCTGACACACTGAGCAGGACAGAGGAGAGGGAGAGGGAGAAGCCATAGCTAACTGCTAATGCTAATAAAGTTATAATATTAGGTCTAAGAGAATAAAGTCGTAACATTACGAGAATAAAGTCGTAATATTACAAGAATAAAGTAATAATATTAGGTCTACGAGAATAAAGTCGTAACATTACGAGAATAAAGTCTTAATATTACGAGAATAAAGTCATAATATTAGGTCTACAAGAATAAAGTCGTAACATTACGAGAATAAAATCGTAACACTGCGAGAATAAAGTCGTAACATTACGAGAATAAAGTCGTAATATTGCGAGAATAAAGTCATAATATTATGAGAATAAAGTCGTAATATTACGAGAATAAAGTTGTAATATTACGAGAATAATGTCGTAATATTAGGTCTAAAAGAATAAAGTCGTAACATTACGAGAATAAAGTCGTAAGATTGCGAAAATAAAGTCGTAACATTACGAGAATAAAGTCGTAATAGTACGAGAATAAAGTCGTAATAGTACGAGAATAATGTCATAATATTGCGAGAATGAAGTCAAAATATTATGAGAATAAAGTCGTAACATTGCGAGAATAAAGTCATAATATTGCGAGAATAAAGTCGTAATATTACGAGAATAAAGTAGTAATTTTATGAGAACTGTCAGCCTGTTGGTTCACCCAGCAAAACTGTTTAACGACGAAATGATCAATATGAGTTTAGCTGTTGACTGTACGGTACGACTGAGACAAACAGCGGCTGCTGGGCTCAGGATGAGGCTGCTGTTTGGTTGAGCTGGTCACGTCAGATCTTGATAACTCTATCAAAGCTTTTTTCTCTCATTAAAATGACTTTTTTTCTTTTATTATTATAACATTATTCTCGTATTATTACGACTTTATTCTCGTAATATTATGACTTTATTCTCGGAATTTCCCAAAAAATTAAATAACACATGGCTTGGGGGAAACTCTGTTGACAGGGTCTGATGTCAGAGCAAATGCTGATAAACTGTTACCCACGTCACAACTACTATGGGGTTTTCTCCCGGTGAGGGGACTAGTCCTTTGCATGTGTACACACATGATCTATTATTGCCTCTGTCTCTCCTCTCTTTCTGAGCCCTGCAAAGAGCCCTCCATGAGCAGTGCTCTGACGCACCACATGTCACATGATATCAACCCTCCGCTGCTGCTGGATTATGTGCAGACCAGATAAGATGCCATTTGTTGGTATGAATCACATTGTTGTTTGCAATGTGTCTTTATGCTTGAACTACTTGTATACTTCCCAGCAGCAGCAGCAGCAGCAGCGGAACTAACATAGAGGAGTAAGGGCTTTCTGACTGTAGGAAACAGTGTATCATGAATAAAATATAAATGATAAAAACTGTGCTCCATTGAAATAACTATATTCTAAAATGTTCTTTATTCCAAAATACCCTGTGCTATTTGTTACGATATAACTTGTTCTCTTCTAGGCATTGAAAGCAGCCTCAGATATCTACTTTCAACTCCCATAAATCTAAATATGCCTTCATTACACTGCTGCATTGTATGCTTCCCAGGCCATTCAAATACCAAAATTAATAAATGGGCAGAGCAGGGAAATACCAATATGTAGCTGGATGTACCAGACTTTGAGCTGAATCTTTTAGTAGTGTATGAAAGCAGCAGACAACTGAAGAAGCTGTAGTGACACTGCAACTAAATCGACTGGATTTATACAGCACCTTTCCAGTCAAAGAGCCATGCCATGTAAGGTGCCAACTACTCATCAGAAATGGAAACTAATTCCAATCAGGAGCAATTTGGGGTTCAGTATCTTGGACACTGGAGTGGAAGGTTGAACTGCCAACCTTCTGATTAATGGCTCTATCTGCTGAGCCGTAGCACAGTAAAGAAATCCACTAAAACGTTTTTTTGTCTTTTCTGTCTTTTATTATTACTCTAGAGTAATACTCAAATCACACAGATGTCTAACAAGCAAAACAATAGCAAAACTTAGCTGAAGTGAGCTGAAAATGTTGAATACCATTGCTAATACAGTAACCAAGAATGGGCACCAAAACCAAAACATTACTTCTTTGATACCTTATTAGTTATTACCAGTTAATGAAAAAAAAGACAAAACAAAAAACATCTTAACAAAACCAAAACAAAGCAATAACCATAAGAGAGAGTAAAGCACCTCAAAGATTAATGCGAAGAAAATGTAAATGGTAAATTTTCTCGAATGGCAATCACTGTGAAATACTCGGTGGCTGGGCAGTGAGGAGTGCAGCACTGGGCACCTCATTGAGACCGAACTCACTCAGTCTTCAACTGTGAAACTGTGACGACTAACAGGTGAACCCAATTGCAGAACACAAGACTCAGTGAAGAGATGACCAATATAAGACTTCATTGCAAAGTAAGGGAAATAGAGGATGAGAGGAAGAGACATGGTGGAGGGTTAGGGGAAAATGGAGGATGGCTGAACTGAAGAGGGTAGAGAGTGAAGGCTGAGTGGCAGGCATAAATGAATTAATGGTAACTACATATATAAGCATATTTGTATTCTCTTCTGCAATGTAGATGAGGAACTACATAAGGTGCATGTTACCTGGAATGTTACCAATTGTATCCTTGAGCAAGATACTGAACCCTGAATTGCTCCCGATGTTGTGCATCGTTGTGTGAATGTGTATGAATGATTAGTTTCAAGAAATGATTTAAGTTGATAGATAGAGTTATTAAAAGAAAACAACACAAAAATGTTGAACAATATAAGTCTGTCTTTGCTCATACATCTCATTAAGAAACTTGGTTCTCATTCACACTGCCTCTGGGGTCCACTGATACACTGAAATCTTCTGCTGATTTCGCCTGAGCTTCTACTTGGAGGCACAGCCACAGTCTTGATATCCAGTTTAGAGTCTTATCTAATATTACAAAGTAGTAGTATTTAATTTCCACGATAAACTTGGCATTTGACCCGAGGTGTCTGACATCACCCTGTGCCATACTGCACACCAGAGCACAAAAACGTGTAAATAAAAGAGGAAGTGTGAAGGTGTATCCTATGTTTAATTGTGGGCACAGATCATATCTCTATAATGAGATGCATCTTGGTTGCTTGGCTGTGGTGTGTCAGGATCATCAATGTCCTCTCTGAGTTTAATGGCAAATGGACTGTACTGGTATAGTGCCTTTCTAGTCTTTCAACCACTCAAAGGGCTTTTACACTACATGCCACATTCACATTCACACACGATGGCAAAGCCCATCACAAACAAAACTAACTCATTCACATCACAGCATCAGGAGCAATTTGTGGTACAGTATCTTGCTCAAGGACACTTTGACATGCAGCAGGAAGAGGCAGGGATCGCAAAACTTCTGATTAGTTGATGCCCCACTCCACCTCGTGAGCCACAGCCTATTCTATACAAATTACGTGAAGAATGCAACATGCTGTGACTGTTGCACTGATACTGTGCCTCCTGAACTTGGATTTCATTAACAGAAGTTATCTGGTAGTCATATGAAATAATAAAACTACAACCTTGTTTTAAGCTTTGTGACAATAAAAGATTATTCAGTTGTTCATCAAGTCCATCTTCTGGGAAAAGTACGGAGATTTCTTCTGCTTCAACATCATCAGGGATCACTGCATACACTATTTCTCAGGCTATAGCTCAGACTATGGTCTAAAAACTATAAGTAGCCTACAGATGGATCTAACAAAATATAAACATTTCTGTTACTTCCAGTACTGTATATTCTTTCAAGGCTGCTGGAAATATTCAAAGTTTCATTACACATTTTTTTAAGTTTCATTTAAACATTTAATATACACACACAATGAAACTTGAATATATGGAATGGAAGTTAGTGTATATATATTGTATAATATTATTATTATTAATATTCTGTGTGTCACTATGAGTGAGTTAGCACGAACTCTATTAGCAGTCATTGTAAGTAATGAAGATATAATTAACACCCAGTTTGAAATGGTCGGTGAATGATACTTCTAGAGCAAAGGTGCTCTATGTCTTTCTATGAAATCTTTTAAATAAAGCCAGTTAATTATTCACTACTCTGTATTTCTGTGTACTTGCGTGTTCCTCTTTGTTTTCTGTCACTATGTGTTTTATGTATTTCTCAGTTTGTGTGCTTCTACAGCATCTGTGACTCACAGACAAACAAGACAGCAGGTGGTGTGTGATGTAATATGGGGCACATATAAGTCTGCTGTCTATCTGCTGGATCTACCTGAGGAGGAAGCAAAATTGGGGAACAAGAGAGCAATCATTGGCAAACGGGATCCCTAATGGGTTCACTTTTTAGAGATGTTTAAATATGCATACTGACATTTTTGTCTGGGCTTTAAAAACAAAAGTTGAGGCATTTTCTTCATGTTATTTCTCTAGAGAGACTGAAGCTGGAATTTTTTTAATGACCATTTTTGTTCCTACTAAGTGAACATTCCATTGGCCTTATAAATTCACAATAGTTGTGTACCTCTTTGATTCCTGGGATTGGCGAGCATAGGATGTCATCGTCAAGATCCAGGCTGCCTCTGCTGCTGTATGGGGTCCTCCTGTGCAGCTTCTTTGCTCCTCTCCCAGTCATCAGCAATAAGAGACAACCCATACGTAACGCAGTGGTTTGGGCCAGGGGCAGCTCCTGGGACAAGAGGGAGGTGATGGCTAAAGATGGAGAATACCTGCTGGGGATAAAGAGACTAAGAAGGCTTTACTGTAATGTGGGCATCGGCTTCCACATTCAGGTCTTACCAAATGGGAAGATCACAGGTGTGCATAATGAAAACAGATACAGTAAGTATTTTGCAAATTCCTTTTCAAATGCATGTGAAGTGTGCTCATGGTGGTACTGTTGGGTCTCTGTAATTAATGTTTTAAGGAGTTCGGTCTAGACCTGCTCTATTTAAAAATTGTCCTGAGATAACTTCTGTTATGAATTGGCGCTATACAAATAAAATTGAATTGAATTGAATTGAATTGAATTGAAAAAGTGTCCATATTGATAGTTAGTAAAAGTGTGTATAAAGTGTGACCATGCATGAAAATAGACAAAGAATTTCATGAGCATAAAATGAAAATGAGAACTCTACAGGTTGAGTTGGATATGGATTTGGAAGAGAAAGCTATATTAAAAAAGATAAAGTAATGACACAATGAATAGTATCCAGGGTGAACATGATATGTTTATCATGTGTAAAAAATAGATTTTAATTCAATTTAATTTTAATCACCACAAACTACATTTTAAACCTTGTTGTTTGTGTGGAAATATGTTTAACTTCGCCACCGCAGTAATCATTGCTTGAGAGTGCAGCACATAAATAAACACAAAATACCAGATTTGTCTATAGACAATGTCCATTTAAATGTCTTTGTACGTGGGACTGCAGAAAGCACGCAACCTTCAACAAGAAGGCATCAGGAGAACAGGTCAGGTTCCAACCATAAAAAAAACTTTCTGTGTACTTCCCAAAATTATCAGAGAAATAGTGCAATGTTTACACTTTCTTCTGCATTTTTTTCTGTATGTGTGAGCAACAGTTTAAATGGCTGACAAATAAATATCCTTTAAAGACTTTAAAACAAATATAAATATGCATAGATTCACACAGGAAGTGCATCACCCATGCAATCTGAGTCTAATGACTATATTTAGTATGTGCAAGAAAAGCCTCACAGACTCTGTTGGAGTTGTTAACTCAAAATCTGCTGTGGAAACTCTTGAGACATGTGGCTACACATGACAAAATCAAATGTTTTGATTCTAAATATATAAAATGTATTTAAAAAATTACATTTTGAGATACAGGAATTTCTGTATCATATTATATTTAGTCATTAGTCTCCAGTGGTTACTCATTTTATCCCATAGCAATACATTATAAAATGTCACTAAGGTCTGCACAATGGAAATACTGGACCAAGGAAAAAACAACAGATTATTTTCTTGCCTTATTTTCTTTTTAAATCTATAATGTAACAGTACATAATATGTGTGTATCAAAAAATATTAAGGTCTGAAATTCCTAACCTGTTGTTCTAGAGCCCTTTTCCTGAAAAGTAAAAAAGCAATCCCTTCGGATGACAACGACTAAAGAAGGATATTGAGATATCCTTGTGCTCTTACTTTGACTGATTTGAAAGTTTTTAATGGATTTGTGCTTAGCTCAGCTGGTACTTTAAGTGCTGTAAAGTAAATTATAATATTCGGTAGTGGGAATAAACATTATTCAGGTGCTTTCCCACTTTTCCTGTTCAAATATTTTTGGGACTATAAAGCACTTCAGGTGATTATAGTGGTAAAGCGGTATTGGCGTTCCCTTTATAATTTTCCGTTTTTAATTGTATTCTATTTATTGCTGATCATTCTCATGTTTTATTGCAGGTCTTCTAGAAATTTCCCCAGTGGAGAGAGGAGTGGTGACTCTGTTTGGGGTGAGAAGTGGTCTTTTTATTGCCATGAGCGACAAAGGGAAACTCTATGGTTCGGTAAGAACTGATCAGGGCTTGCTAATTTGATGATGATGTGTGAATTTTTGCACAGTTGTTTGTCCAGAAAAAAACACAACCAGTATATTGATAATGGTGTGAGGTCATCTCCATGCTGGAATGTATCAGGTGAGGGTCACTGGTTTCTACACACTTCAATTTTAATTATTTTGAGAAACCCTCATTGTTTTCAAGGGGGTAATTAAAAAATGAAAGGAAGTTTAGTAAAGTTCATCAATTAACTCCACCGACAACCCCCAAAACATTTTTTCTATATGTACACTGCTGGCGCTAATCCAGTTTTATGATCCTGATCTCATAATTATGAGATATTTCCTTGTAATTATGATGACATGATCCAAGAACTGAAATATTCTATTAGAAGTAAATAATAAACAATTTATAACCATTCATTAAATTTAACAATTAACTTAGAAACAACCTATATATATATATATATATATATAATTAAATCATTTAGAACAATCAGTAGACTTACATACAGAAACTTGAAAATATGATTTTAACACAACTACTCCATGTCACAGTTAATTGTAGGTCTTTTCCTTTTGGCCATAAGCCATAGGTATAATGTTGTATTTGGTGATCAGCTCTAGTTAGAGTCGTTTGAATACTGAGGCCAACTCTGCCATAAGCTAAGCACCAGTTAGTCATCCAACAGTTAGTCATCATCTAACAGCAGTCCTGCATGTACAGAGGTAGGTGGTTCAGTAGGGTGGGGGGAGTTAGGTTGACTTTAGGCTGGAGCTCCTCCCATACCTCTGTGGGGGAGTCCGCCATGCCACTGAGTTTTCCCCCTTATATTAGCATACAATATAGTATTATGAGGACAGCTCCTGAGCCTGATGACATACAGCTAGGATGTCTATGCCAGACTCTTGTCTGTCATGAGCAAAGGTGGAAGTAGCTTGACACATTTTACAAACACCCACAAAATCCAAATCGTGGAAAACAGGCATTTCTCACATTTAAGAGAAGAGAAAGAATGATTAGTAGTGACGTGATAAATTACTGTTTTCTGTTCACCCTTTCCTATCCACAGGGCCACTACAATGACGAATGCAAGTTCAAGGAGAATCTCCTGGCCAACAACTACAATGCTTATGAATCAGCTGCCTACCCTGGTATGTACATAGGCCTCAGCAAGACTGGAAAAACTAAGAGAGGCAACCGGGTCACACCCACCATGACCATGACACACTTTCTTCCCAGGATATGACGTTTAGGAACAAAACTCTCAGTACTACAGAACAAAGCTTCTGTTCGGTCAGATTCTACTGTTGGACTACTGACGTTCTTCTTCTACAGCTATCACAATGGACCATAGAAACTCAGAAACCATTGGAAATGTTCTTGCCCAATTACAAGCTAACCAGCACTAGAGAAGCAATGTTTGTATAAACTGTTTACTATGCACTAACCAGAACGAACATTAATGTGTGATCAGCATGGCTGTGAATGAAGACTCCAATAAACAAACTTGCAAAATACAAAGCAGTATCAGTGTTAACACACAGTAAAACACATCAGTAAAGTCGTAAAATGTCTTCTTCCACAAGTTTTCGATTGTGATTATTGTTGCACATGGAGTTTTGATTTATGCTACAGGTGCTAGAAACAATCAGGGTCCAAATCAGGTCTTAATGATTTTGTCTGATAGTGTTCCAGTGGAAATGGTTTTGTGGTATTATTACATGTGTCACATATATAGCATAACACTTTAATCCATACATAGATATTTTAAGCCCCAAATCATCATGTAAAGGGTTATAGTCATTACACACACAGCAGGTGCGGAGTGAAAATGAACAACCTATCTTTTTGAATGACTCTTCTTAGTGTCTGGTATATACCGGGACAACCTGAGCTAACTGCTCATGAAAGGCATAAATCCCATGCCCACTGGCTGTTATTATAGGGTACTGCTGACGCCACCTGCTACACTGAGGTGCACTAGCTCAAAACATAGGAACCAATGAATGAGCCAATGAATAATACCACAGCTTGGGGACTGGACCACACTGGAGTAATAGAACCTTTCTTGTGAGACAACATGCTATTGTGCATTGTGCACTGGAAAGACTCCACTACACTGACTGGAATGGAGCCTTAACTAGTACCATTGGTACTGGCATGTAGAGGTGTAGTTTTGGAATCAGAAAGGTGTTGGTTTAATCCCTGGCTACTCCACGGAGTTAAAGACTAGGTAATGAGATAATGGTTAAGTAATGGGGCTCCTCCAGACTAGATAATTGAGGAAAGTGCTTGGTTAAGGGACAGGCATTGATTTTGTCTTTGATTCATTCACTCATTTCATAGAGTCACATGTGGGGTCGTGGAAGGGAGATGCTGCACATGGACAAGAAAACTTAAGTTGCGTCTGAATTCAATCATTTTCTCCATTTCTCATTGTGTGTGTGCATGTGTGTGTGTATGTGTGTGTGTGTAGGTGTGAGGCAGGCACCAAAAAGAAAAGAGAAGGAAGAAAACATGAATGCAAGAAAGGTAGTCAACTTTAGATATTAGTGGGACTCTTTCTGTTGATACCTTGATGGACAGATGGATGAATAAGAGCCCCACCTAAAACATTAAACCTTGCTTCGTTTGGTGGTGGTGTAAGTTTCCAGCCATGTGCCAAATAATGATGTTGAGTGTTGCTCATTAGCTATCACACTGACGTAGGCTATTGAAATAAAATAATAGTGAGTGTAAATTAAGAGTTTATGGTTGTTAACAGGCTATATGGTTCATGACTTTAGCATAGAAAGCAACTATCTGACGACGAATGCAAAATTCTATTTGAAAATGACTTTAGTATCCCTATAGCAGATTCCTGCAATGTACAGATTTTCTTAACAGTGAACATGCAGACCCTTGGACCCCATCCAGAGTATTGGCAACACAATATCAAGATACAGGGGTTACGATTCAATATACTGGGAATTAAAAAAATAACCAAAACTTATTTTTTTTTTTTTTTACATCTGTCTTTGTCCTTCTGTTGTTACCTCTGTCTCTGTCCTGTCGTTACCTCGCCACCCACTTAGAGCCGGGGTCTGTCCAAGGCATATTTTCTTATTTACCTACTTATAACAGATGTGAGGGAGGAATGAAGAAATCCAACAGACAACATTCTTATCCATGATTTATTGTAACGTGCAGTATTGACAAAAATAAAATGCAGCATGACAAATTCTTTTATCAATGTTAGTATTGATTTCCCATAACACTTGGGAAAATAGGAATAAATACCTAAAACAAATTTGTGGGGCTGAATTGACTGGGTGCATTATATTTTACAAATAATTGTCCGCAGTGACTTAGTGCTTTAAGGAAAATGAATTTATGTTGCATCTTAACATCCATCACTTGATTAACTTCACTTAACTTAATGGAATATGACACTGAAAAGTGGGTATCTGAGTATTGAACACTCCGCCCTAGCTGTTGTGAATCCAAACTGACTACAGCTGCCTTCCCACAAAGATGTAAGCTACAGCTTCTACAGTGGGAGACTACTGGATACTCAAGATTTTCAGTGTATTGTTCCTTTAAGGACTGCCAGGGAAAATGAGTGGCAGCCTATGGAGCCTGGGTGGTTCCTAACCCCACAGCATTAGCATACGCAGACAGCAAACTGACTACCTGCCTGGTTTCCAGTGTGAGTCTGGCTTCAGTCAGCCAGTCCTCCACCACTCTCCTGGCCTCTCCTCTCAACTGGTTCACCAGTTTAGCTGCTAACTCCAGATCCCCATGCTCTAAGCAGTAGCTTGCATATGACAGAAGCTTGAATGGGTCTAAATCCTCACTGCACAGCTGGGCAGGTGGCGCCTCCTGTTTCTCCTCAAACAGCAGGGCAGCTTGAAGGTAGGACAAGAAATACTGGTACAAGGAGTTGTGAGATTCATCAATGAGGGCGACCCGGCGTGCGAGCGATCGTAGGGAGTTGAAGCGAGCACGGAGAGAGGCCTCGCTGTACACACCGCGGTGCAGGGATTCCTCTGGAAGAGCTGATGATAGAGCCAAGGCAAAGTCGCTGTCGTGGCAGCTATCTCGCACGGCCTGAGCAGCACCCTCTAGAGGCACAGTGGGGATGTCAGCGTTAGCCGTCTTTAAAGTGTAGTTGAGAGCCTCCACAGAGAGCCAGAGCTGGTGAGCTTTACGGGCCTCCTCCTCCGCTACCACATGGCCTGCATTCAAAAGACAAGAAGGTGTTTACGTGACGTGGTTTAACGAAACACGAAGAACATGTGAAACATCAAAATGTTTTCAAAGCTCCTATTATACCTTTAGATACTTAAACATTTTAACCCAAAGAACAAGAAAGCCATAGAAGGTAAATGGACTGTACTTGTATAGCGCTTCTGACCACTCAAAGCACTTTTACACTACATGCCACATTTGCCCTTACTCACACATTCACACAGTGATGGCTCTACCTCAGAGCCACAGCTGCCCCCTAGACAGCATGCACACAGTGTATTTAAAGTCAGGATATGGTGCATTATATTTGTGACAACACTGAGGCTGGGCACTCAGACAAACATATCATAGCTATCTGCATTTCGTCCATCGCCAGTTAGGTTTTTTTGGGCTGATTTTTGTCATTTTATTTTCCCTCTCTTCCCACTCTTTTTAATAAACAATTTTACCTTTCCAGAACATTTTCCAAGACTTTTTCTAGACAATACAGGACAGTACTTGCTCACAAACAGTCATATAATTTACCAATAGGTGTAGTATTGACACATTTAACCCTAGTTTTATGTCTCCTTGTTTAATGATGCAGCGTTTCATTCAGGTGGGTAGCCGGCACTTATGGGACACTCACATTGGTGGCATGTTTGGCTGTTCTCACCCAAGCAAGCTGCAGTCTCAGTGGAGTGGTCTCCAGCAAACTGACTGCACTTTACTACAGTTTGTAAAACTTGAGATTGTAAAATATGATGCACTGTTGAACATTAAACCACAAAACAGCACAGGAGAGAGCACATGTTGTCACCAGAAGTCAGATTGGCTGCAGTTACGTTTTTAACCTGTATGGGTCTGACAATATCAAATGGTCTCAGTATTTCTAGCCTTTTTCCAGAAAGTGGTGTGTGTATGTGTATGTCTATGTGTAGCTTACTGTCTATGGCCTCCTCCATTCCCTTCAGTCTTGCGTAGGCAGTGTTCATATCCAGAGTGAAGTTATCCAGTTGTTCCTGGCTCAGCTGACGGTAGCGGGTCTCCTGTTCCAGCATCTTACTGCTCAGGACCTGAACACAACACACAGCAGAACTTTGAAGGATTGCTTGCAGCTAGAGAGTCAGAGACATGCACCACGAGAAGCGAGTAGAGTGGATGTGTGGATGTTGCAGACACCAAGGCCCTGTTTAGACCAGGCATTAATAAATGGATCTTGACTGATCAGCTGAATGTCCATTACTACTGTCCACTTGGCTGTTCAATAAAAACATTGAAAAATGTGTTACTTGTTTTTTTCAGTGTAGCTTCTAAATCAATCTAAGTCGCACGTTTACCTGCACTGTCAGCAGGTTAGGATTTCATTACTATACAAGCAGGACACACACTTTTACTTTCTTCATCACAGGGGATGAAGAAAGTAATTAATGCCAGAGAGAGTAAAAGTGTGCCTCCTACTCGCACCACAGTGCGTCTCCCCTGCTGGGCCTTGTGAGCCACTCAGTGCAGGGCAGTAGAGGAGGTTATACCACAGTCACTTGTGATCCAATCTCAGTCCCCTGCTCTACATGCAAAGAAACACATACATCATTGCTGTTTGAAAAGATGAAATGCATGGTTTTTAACCGACAGATTGAGAAAGAAAAAACTTAATGTGTTGTTTTTCAGCGTTTCGTAAAGTTTCTCCTCCCTCACCAACTCTCAACATTGTGTGATTTTTCAGTTCTTTTGAGATAATCGTCATCGGCCGATGTCTGCACTCACAAGGCCAATAAACAAAAAATGCCTTCAGACATGTAGGGGAATTCTTCCATAATCTGGAGAGTTGCTAGTTCTCTGAAGAATTACAAACCCAGTGTGGTGAATCCAATTCCTTTACTCATGCAGCATGGAGGGAAAACTACAGCATAGACGTTCCCTCACGACTTCCAGAATGCTCTCCCTTATATACTCCACAGTACATCATTAAAGCAAAAACACACATGTTGTCCTATCTACATTCCTAATCTAAATTATACATGGAAGTTTGAGGTCTTTCACAAAAATGGTCCTTCAATCTGACCCTATGACTGTGACCAAATGCTCATCAGTCACTCCCTTACCATAAACTACAAACCTCCTTAAGCACTCTCTATACATTACCGACCCCTCCTAAAACATCCATCTACCACAGACACATCTGCTGGCAGCCTGGAATGATGATGTAGTGCTCCCCTTTGTCAGTTTTGGGAAGGTGGTGAAAATGTTGGTTTCAAGCCCTGTACTATAACTC